GGGGGGTGGCAATATCATTTTTCTCTGTTGTTTCACACAGGAAGGATCCATATTCATTCCCGTGACTTTATGGGCTATCTTTCAAGTGTGCGACTAAATCCTTCAATGGTACGTAGTCAAATNATCCTTTCATGCATTATGTTAGGTATCAAGGAAAATCAATTCTGGCTTCAAAAGGGACGTTTCTTTTGATGAATAAATGGAAATTTTACCTTGTCAATTTTTGGCAATGTCATTTTTTCTCTGTGCTTTCACACAGGAAGGATCCATATAAACCAATTATCCAATCATTCCCGTGACTTTATGGGCTATCTTTCAAGTGTGCGACTAAATCCTTCAATGGTACGTAGTCAAATGTTAGAAAATTCATTTCTAATCAATAATGCAATTAAGAAGTTCGATACCCTTGTTCCAATTATTCCTTTGATTGGATCATTAGCAAAAGCAAACAAAGTAAGATTCTGAATCAGAAATCCAACTAGTCAAAATTACACGTGAGCATCTTTGTGAAGCCTAGTATCGCCATTAATCAGTAGGCGAACTTTAAGTGAGCAAGATCCACAAGGAAGCACAAAAGAAGCTGGCAAAGATTTAGATGTCAGCAAAGAGACTGTACACCCTTCTATGGATATTGAACAACCCGTGTCAGCCAATTCTAAAGAATCAATAAAGTAACCACATCTACAAGGATAAGAAAGCTCTATAACATCACCAGAATCTTGAACTGTAAGGTCCTCTAAGCTAACATCTTCAGCAATTTCTACGTCCTGTCTCAAAGCTAGCAATTCACCGTCAAGGGTTTCCCTTCCTTCCTTACTTTCCACTTTTTCTTCTTGCCTTTCCTGAGCCGAGGGTCTATTGGAAACAGTCTCTCTACCTGCATTAGGTAGGGGTAAGGTCTGCGTACAGACTACCCTCCCCAGACCCCACCTGTTGGGATCAAACTGGGTTTGTTGTTTATTCTAATAACCACAAAATCTATTTTTTCCCAACTTCGAAACTGTGATGGATAATGTGTCCGCCCTCTACCCTTCTCCACTTAAAAATCAAACTTTAAGTGGAGAAGAATTAGATCGCATACAAAGAATTTTGAACTTTATTCTAATTGATGAGACGAGGTGCCATGGTGTATGTTATTTGCTGATGACATAGTTCTAATTGATGAGACGAGGGTCGGTGTTAACGAGAGGTTGGAGGTTTGGAGACAGACCCTCGAGTCTAAGGGTTTCAAATTGAGCAGGTCTAAGACAGAGTATATGGAGTGCAAGTTTAGCGCTGAGTCAAGGAAAGTAGGCAGGGACGTGAGGCTTGGATCACAGGTCATCCCCAAGAGAGATAGCTTCAAATACCTTGGGTCGGTGATTCAGGGGGATGGAGAGATCGACGAGGACGTCACTCACCGTATAAGGGCAGGCTGGATGAAATGGAGGCTTGCATCTGGAGTCTTGTGTGACAAGAAAGTGCCACCGATACTCAAAGGTAAGTTTTATAAAGCTGTGGTTAGACCGGCCATGTTGTATGGGGCAGAGTGTTGGCCGGTTAAGAACTCCCATATCCAGAGGATGAAGGT